TATTCTATTCTACTCTATTCTTGTGAGAGCTTTATTTACACAAAATGTTCTGACGGTAGAATGAATTATGATTGGTTCAGAGAGATAACGAATCAGATTGTAGAGGAAGTGGAACCAAGACATCTGATTGGCTGGTTCCACCTCCTCTTGTCACTTGGACCCACCTCCTCTACAATGTGGTTGGTTATCTCCATGAACCATTAATTTTTCATTCTACCCACAGAACATTTTTGTGCAAGTAAAACTCCCATGAGAAAAATGCTCAGAATTGCTGTCTCTAAATCACCCATAGTGAGTGGTTATGTGGTTGCGCATCTTCCCTGGGATAGACTGGCATCCCATTTGGGTTGCCCCCCAAACATCATGCCCTGTGCTTCCTGGGTTACGGTCCAGGCTCATGGTTCTCCATACCCCTTCACTGTGCTGGCTGGACATCATAATTGGGGCGCAATTTCCAGACCATATCCATCGTTTTTCCCGGCACCCACAGCCTCAGCTACAGAAGATCACAGAGCCAATCAGTTGGTTCCTGTGATTTTCTTGAACTTTCATGTTGCCGTTTCTTGCCAGTGAAGTAGCCCAGAAGCCAGTGTCCGGCCAGGAATGCACTCCCGGTCCTCCATTAAATTACGCGCTACATGAAATTACTTATTTAAAGCGCGCGTGTGTTTAACGAGGTAATCAATTTAATGATATAATGCCAGCGCCCAGGCCTGTAGAGTTGACACTTACAGCGTTAAATACAATTGTAACGTTAATTAAAAATAAGCCAGTGAAGGGGGGCACAATCACAATTCTTTCTGGCCTGACATAAGCACTTTCGCGGCAGTATTTTATGCTGGGGAAGCAGAAGGCCAGCACATGCAAAATAAACACCCCCTCCCCCGCCTGAGATAATATGCTATTTGAGCCAATGGCGTAATCAATGCCTTTAAATGATCGAGCGATGCTTTCGTTTTAAAGGCGCTTTCCATGTCGCAATTAACACTAAATCAAAACAACAGGAACCCAGCTACCCCCAGCCCCCGTCCTCTCTTTTTATCTCCCGATGTACCACCTTCAAGCCCTTCTTCTGCACCTCCCAAAATGCTTTTTGAGCAGGCGCTGGCGTTCCCACTAATCCCGCCATCCCTGGTCGCCTCACTCTCTTTCTCGCCCTCTCTCTCGCTCGCCTACCGCACGCCAAAACGAGAGCATCTCTCTTACTCCCTAAAGACCTGCTGCTCTCGGAAGAACTCCCGTTTTCTTCTTTGTTGTATTTTTTTTTTAAAACCTAGGAACTCTGAAAGAAAGGGCTTTTTTAGCATAAAAGTGCATACCACCCTTAAGAAAATCCCCATTGGACAGTATCACACTTTGACTATTAAATGTGGAGCGAGATCCTGGTTGCTGGAAGAACATTAAACCCGGGAACATCGTCACAGTCGCTCTGCACCATTAGACGGCCTTATTATCACTATCATCCTCGTTATTTCATTATAATGATTGAAATTAAGCCGCCCGCATTTTTGAATTGCCTGAATCTGAGCAGAATCCTGGGCCCGGAATCAGACAGCACACGCGCATGAATAATGCATCCAAAGCATTCTCCATCGCGAGGACTGTGGCACCATCACCGCAGCTGAAGCAGACACGCATCTCCCCTGATGGTGACGTTAGCGTGCTCTTTCTTCCTGCACCCTATGCATCTCCAGAAATATTAATCCAAGCCAACCTGGAGATTTCCTTCATCCCTCCCTCAATAAAAACACACACCCCCATGTCATGTGTCGGCGCCCCATCCTGGAAATTGTTTCAGCAGACCCCACCTCTGTCTTGCCATATACAGTATTTATTGGGAACTACAAATTATTCGAGGCCCCTCCAGGGGGCACTGTTTTCATTCCGGAGAGGCGGGCAGCCAGCAGACACGCAGCGTTTTTTGTCGCACCTGAGAATGGGCCGCAAATTACGCACTTTGAGAGGCAGTACCCGTCAGAGGGGTGGGGGGGGGGGGGGGGGACAGGGGCCGGCTCATGGCGGTGACCTTATCCGGAGCAGTAATCTGTGCCGAGGTTTTCTGTAATTGCATTTCTGAGTCTGCATGGCCCTGTCTGCTAGAGAGGAAGCTTCGCAAGTCGTTCAGAAGCCTTTATAATTACGGTGTTAGTGATTAAACCGTGCTCACTAACTACGGCATCAAATTGAATTTTCCCTCCGCTAATTAATTTGCCGCTGTATTCTGCGTACTTTGTAGCTGCCGCCGCCCCTCCCCCCACACCGCACTATCATTCATCTAACTTTATCCCAGAGACCTTTATAAAAAATCCCACCCAGGCTCCAACCAATGCCCAAGGCTCCCTTTTAACTCTCCTGGATCCTGACTTGTGAGAAAGTTGATCAAACCTACAGAAAAGCACACGGTGGTTTAGAGAGGAGAGGAAGACACTGTAAGACTCTATTGTAGTGGGGGGGATGACGGAGACAGTCACATGACTCAAGCACAGGAACAAAGGCAGGTTGAACCAAATGAATGGGGAGGGGCAGAATCATACAGCTAAATTTGACCTTAGTGTAAAATGAAACAAAAATGATGCTTCATGTGCTATTTGTATGAGTATGAGTGCAGGAATGAGTATGAGTGCAGGAATGAGTATGAGTGCAGGTACACAGGAATGCTTTTGTCATCACATATCCCATGATGCTCTCCTTTTATGCCATACAGTTTTAAATTTTACATGTAAAACAAGTAAATTTTGGGGCAAGTCGTTCATGCAGTACCCCAGGAATATTTTTCAGGGAGCATGGGATTCGAACTAGCAACGTTCTGGTCACAAGCCCAGAGACCTAACCCAATGAGGAGTAAATGAGGAAGAAGATAGAATGGTTAATGGAGCAGTGAGGGGCCCGTGGCTGGGGTCAGGTATTTGGTCTGGACGTGTTTCCTGGGGATGAGGGGAACACAGACACACCAGGGAGGAGGGAGTAATGTTCCAGGGATCTGATCTCACTGCAGCCCGGGCCACCTAGAGCCCCCATCTGCCTCCCCGCATTAAAGGAGCTCTGGATCGCAGAAGATAGAGCCTGACATTCAGAGCGTCGCAGTTCGGGGCACATCGACAGAAGGCTGAGCAGAATACAGAGCCGGCTGGCGAATCGATAACGTGTCAGACACACATCCGGCGATGAAGCCAGCCGCGGGTCTACAGGGAGTGCCGCCTGCCCGGCACGAGGGATCCCTGGCGACAGTCACGTTATTAAGTGTGAGCCAAGCCGGGTCTGGGGGGGGCGGGAAGCTGATGGGGGGGGCAGCCTGAAACGGTGAGTCACCCAGTGGGAAACCTGGGGCCCAAAAACGGGCCCCCGCACGGAGACTGCCAGCGATATGGAGGAGTGGAATGGCACAACGGACCGGCTCCGTGTCTCAGGCAGAACCAGACCTTCTGGACATTTCCTCCAGTCTGTTGCTCCTCAGGGACACCTCCCACATCAGAACCCCCTGAAAAAAAATAAGAAACATCAATCTGTTATAGACAAGCAAAAAAAACAGGCTTGAGGCAGCCGCTCTCCCCCTCACTCTTCAGACACGTATCATAAGAAAACCGCTGAAGCCCCTTGCAGCATCAGAGGGCACCTACAGTACGTGTTTAAAACAGTATCACGCAGCTTCCAGGCCACACTTCTTCCTGGGGGGGGGCTGCTGGGTTTTAAACACAAGGTGGTTTGCTCACTTGCTGCATACAGCTACAAGGGAACGCGGCCTGGTTCTACACATTTCACCGCTCAGTCGGAGAGACGTCTTACCTTTAGCGCTGCCATGTAAGTGCTCTGTGAGATCACAGGCATGTTGAACGGTGCGTTTTGACATCGGCGGCAAGCTGGTTCATCCCGCTGCCGGATCCCAACCGTTGAGCTGGCGCTAGTAACAGCCCCTGGACGGCGGAGCGCCCTCTACAGGCCGGCGAGGCCAGACAAATGAGTTGCAGCCAGTGCTTTCGGCGAACAAAAGAAAGGATTCTGTCGGCAGATGCGGCGGCAGGCAGATCTTCCTGCACGATTTCACCTCCCGTGTCATAATCTGGATGTTTAGAGGAGATGTATTTCTGCAGTAGTGTTTGCATCAACACCTCAAGGGAGAATAGGAATCATCTGAATTATCACTGTATCACAAATGACTGGTTAGAGGTAAAGTAGGGGTTTTTATGTCGTCTCAGAGACCCAATCATGGAGGGCACATGGTCAGATGCGAGGCACGGTGGCGGGGAAACTATGTGGAATGTTTTTAATTAGAACGCAGGTCTTATTGTTCATGTCGGCATCACCAGGGAAACCGCGGTTCCTGATACCCCCAGGCCCTTCAGCAGTTATTACGACGGCCCTCGGCACACCTGTTCAGAGCTGGATCCAGCAGCCCGGCTTAATGAGGCTGCATGCCCATCCACCAGAGGCAGAAAAACAAGCCCAGCTAAACGTCAAAACAGGTAGCTCACCGTTTCATTAATTGGGACTTGGAGATAAAAAGGGATTCCGATTCACCTTCGGGGGAAGAGTCAGTGTTGTATCATTGAGCGAAGTACATAATCTGAATCGGATGCAAAACCCTTTTAATAAGTAAATGGCGTGCGGTTTAAACCAGATAACGCATCGCCATTTCACAGAAAATGTGGATTGTGATAGAATCCTTCCTTGTACAAACAGCGTTGATTCATGTCAAACATGGCCAGTGATTCATCGACGAATAGGACAGAGATGTCTGTCTCTGAAGTGGGAGGAACACGCCAAGAATGTTCAGCTAATGAAAATAATTCACTGTTTTGGGGAAAAAAAATACAGATTGTTCTGGTTTACTTTCCCTGTGGTAACATTTACTAGTGTGTTGGCAGCTGCTGCCCCCTAGTGGAGACCAAATGAAACAGACAACGACGGAATCAACAGATGGCACATGCAGGTTGCTTCACAGCCCAACCACTGTGCCGGGGGTAGGGGGGGCGGGGGGGGCGGGAAACAACATCTACACAAGATTGACAATGTTTCATGCACTTTAATATATCCGTTTCTCATATTCACAACAAATACATTAACCTCTTTTTCTTTTAATATAATACAGTCTTAAATATTTTTACACTGAAATAGTTTCTTAGAATTTCATCTATCAAAACTTTATCATCTTAAGCTTTTATTTTTTTTTTCCATTGTTTTAGTCTCCATGCCTTCTAGCAAACTGACAATATTTTCATTGTACAAATTTACAAGTGCTGCCACCCTGAGGGAATGTGGCAGACAGTTCTTAGATGAGGAAGTTAGAGGTGTGGGCAGGTGAAGGGGGGGGGGGTGCTGGTGGATACAGACCCAGGATACGGAGAGGGACCATAAAGTGAAGGAAGGGCATGATGACAGCACAGAAAAATAAAAGAAAAGAGTAAAACGACAGCGAGGGAGGGGTCAAACATGACAGTCAAGTCGAAACCAAATTAGTCCATAATCTCTATGGTTCACGCTCGCTTTAAAAGATAAACCTCTGTAACAACATCCTTTTAAAAAATAAAATATTTATAGAAAATAAATACAGCTATCTTAAAACACAAGTTCCCCGCGTGTTCTGCAGTTTATTATATTGTATGCTTTTGATGTCACACCGTCACACACAGCAGCCCGGACGGGGGCGTCGAAAAATAAATAGGTCAGCGAGGACGTCGCCTTCCGTACAGACCGCAGCAAGCGGGCGGGTGGCTCGGCCCCCCCGCAGAGTCAGCCTTCACGAAAGGGGGGGGGGGGGGTGTTTATTTTTCTTTTCCATCCTCCGTCACAATCATACAGTTGGGAAATCAGTTCATTCAACCTTTACAGTCATCACGCTAACAAGAAAACTAAGTCTAATTCTACACCAACTTAACACAAAATATATAAACAAAATGACAAAAGACTTCAAAACAAAAACGTGTTGCGTGTGAACAGACAGCCACGGCCATCAACGTCTCCCCAAAGAGTCCTTCGTAGGACGAGCCACTGGCCATTACCCATAAGCCCCGCCACACTCTCTCGGAGGGGCGGCGTGGAGCGTGAGTGGCTGTCCAAGGGCCATCCAGGTACTTCTATAGCTCAAGGACCAATCACTGTAAACATCGAGGAAATACCCTGAGATCCCATTCATCAGTACCGATAGGTTACAGCTCAGCCAATAGATGAACGGAGACCAGGAGACGCTACATTATTTCGAATTTGGCTTCAGTCTGGATCATCTGGAACGGCGGCCACGCGTGGAACGGGTTTTCATCAGGTCCTGGCAGAGCCACAAGGACTGGAGATTTAACGGTCATGACAGATCCCTCCCATAAGGCTAGGAAGAGGACGAATATTATCTGGGCGCAGCAGTTGACCTTTGACCCCCTGCGTAGTGACACAGCCGAATGCAGGTTTACAACAAACTGCATGCATCTCATTGACAGGAAGCAGGGCTGGCTTTGCTGTCAGACTGATCCACTGGTGAAGGTTAGACCAGAAGGTTTGGATGTACAATTCAAACATTTTTGGACATGAATCCAGCAACGGCACTGGGGCCAGAAGCCTCAGGCAGCACAGAGCACAGGCCGATGACGAGACCCCAAGGTCAAATTAACTTTAAATTCACTGGCGTTGCTAAATACCCAGTTATAACTGAATATAACACTAATCCATACAGGCTGCTCTGAAGAGGGGAAAAAAAGAAAACACTAAAGTAAATTTAAATTAACATAATTCTGCATCAGAGACCCCATTAATCTCATATCTGTCCACTGAGTGTCCCACAGTTCTCCCTGCAGCTATGAGGGGGGGGGGGTTTAATGCTCCCTCCCAGCTTAAAATCAGCTGATCTCTGCTCCTATACAGTTTGCCAAGTTATGATCCTGGTCTATATTTGTTATTGGTCAGTGTTACAGTCTTCCTGTGAGACAATTAGCAGTTAAAGATTATGGTGATTTTGTAGGCATGGGGGGATGTTTAGTACTAAATCAGATTTTTACAAATGATTTGCCCAGCATGTGTAGCCTATAGCTAAAAAGTTCAGAGCAAGTAGGGGGAGGAGTCACAGTGGAACAGGTGTGTCCGTGTGTGTGTGTGTGTGTGTGTGTGTGTGTGTGTGTGTGTGTGTCCTACATCTGAATAGGCCAATTCCACTGCCCACCCCCACCTCAGCTGAACATGACTGCCAGCTGTGATGAATTCTGGGGGCCAATCCCATCCACTGTATGGGGGTCTGGACTTAAGAAAGAAACGTCCATCCTTAAACCAGCAAAGGGGTGAAGATGCCACTCTAACTGCACTGTTGCTAAACAAGTTCAGCGCATCTGTGCAACTGAACCAGCAGCGTGTGACTGCATACGCACATATAATCATATAATTAATGCAACATACAACCACAATGACTCACCTTCCCTCCACCGTGACAGACCTCCTGCCCGCTTAAAAATATAAATGGCCAGTCATCTGTATACATTCTGATTTACCTAAAGGGCACGGAAGTCTACCTCAGCTCTGACAGGACCCACATGGAACACGTTCACTCACATTCCCAATCCAAAAGTTCCCTCTCCTAAGCAGGGGCTAGACCAGTGTTTCCACATCCCCCCCCAGGTACGCAGTACAGTGCCACAGAAAGACACCAGGTGTTGATGTTACAGCCCCCCCCCCCCTTCTGCTTAACAGAGTCTCAGACAGAATTTATGCAAAAATCCTGCAAAACAGAGGGTCTGGGATTCATGCCAACATAATATGGCAGTTTGGGCATAGACTAAGCAGTAAATGATGCAGCTTCACACACGCACACACACACACACGCACACACAGATGCTCATATAAAATTAAAGTGTTCCATATATGGTTGGATCCATTACTACAAAGTGCAAGTAAACATCTGACAGAAAAGCAGTTACGGAGACAAGAAAAGCACAAAAGTTCTCAAACAAACAATCATTAAAATATTTTTCCCATAAATAATAATATTATCTAATCTTCTCAGGCCGGCCTGTCCACAAATCTGCTTAGGAAAACAAAAAAGCAAAAATAAATAAATAAAAACCTGTGACCCTTAAACACTGGAATGTGAATACATGTAGGTGTGGGACATTGGGGTGGGATCTATTCTCCACGAGGGCCTTCAGAACACCAGCGAGGCCAGCAGACAGCTAGATTAACAGGTAAACAGTCATCTGATGTGACTTTGCTTCTCCCACGAGAAATCACACCAGTGGGATGCATGTGAATTCAGGGCAAGACAAAAAAAAAATTCAAAAACAAAAATGTCTTTTTTCACTGAAGGATCAGGAAATAAATTTGGCGGAAAGCGGCAGGAAACCACGGCGATCAGACGCCACTGCTGACAAAAAGCTTGCAAACAGACACACGCAAACAAATTATTCATTGCATTAAGGAATCTGGCTTATTGTGGCACGATGTGTGACAGAAGTGTAAACCTCACAGTAGCAAGACTAATTAAAACAGACTCATTCAAACAGCTTCCTGTTCTGGGTCCAAACTTCCATTCCCACCATAGCCAGCAGGGGGCAGATGGACCAAGAAGGATGATCATGCTTATTGGCCAAAGCGTCAGAGGCTTTCTGGAAACTTCACAACCGAGAGACTGCTTTCAGATATAGGTCCTCCTCGCTGGCAGACTGCTGACGTTCACATACCCATAAACTCCCCCTGTTATCACACTGACCTCCACAGACACACGGCGAACATGCATTCCAGAGACTGACATGCACATTTTGGGAAACAGGGGGTGGGGGGTTTTGGAGACTTGATAGCCTTCGTCCGTGAGCAGACAGGTTACTTATTCTGTAGCTTCTTCATAGCGCATCAAAAGTGCAGTGATTAGCCTGCGATGGAATGTAATTCGTCATTCTTCTCTCACAACATAACCTGATAAACAAACAAAATAATAAACTCAAGGTCTAAAAGTCGGCGGTGTCTGTCTCCAAATCCCAACACCAAGGTAAGAAGACAAAAAACAGCCATATGAAACAAAGAAAACCATTCAAGTTGTCTTCCATTAGCATTAGCTGCCCGTGTCCCTCCATGGCCTGTGATTGGCTGTGACTTGTGCCCATCACCCTTCTCCAGCCAATGAACAGGCAGAAAAATGCTGCATCTCCCTCCCCCTCCAATGCCATTGGTCAAAGAATGGCTGCCGTTCTCCAGCTCACCTTGCGTGACACTTCTCCCCATTCCCTCCCCCATGAAGGAGGGACAAGATTAGGCATCTCCCCAGCAACAGCTGAGCTGCCCCCCTCCCCCGCCCATCGTCGACTCCCCTCGTCCTTCATTCCGCCTTGTGATGGCGTTGGAGGGGGCTCTTCATCCAAGCGTCTGGAGCCCCTCGCTCTCCTTCAGCCATATTGTCCATATTCTCTTCCTCATTCGAGTGAGACTGTTTTTTGGCTGCTCCAGCACAGCTGTTGCTCTTCAGATAACAATAAGGAAAACATCACATTCTTTGTAACTATTTGTTTGTAATGGATGGACCCACTGTAGGAACACAAGACTTTTTTTTCCTTTTTTCCATTTTTTTTTTGTTTTTCGTTTTTTTTTTTTTTTAAGTCTTTTTCTTTAAAGTGACGAGGGATGAACAGGCAGAATCCGTCTACTTAAATGCTGAGAACTCCCCTGTCGAGATGAAGAAGAGACTCGTGATTTAAAAAGGCATTTTATAAGAAGGTTCACTCTAATCCAGACATTTGTTTGCGTTTGGACTCAGAGAACAGAAGGACTTTCTATTAGACTGCAAACAAACCACTTTGAGTAGTAAATGAAAACTGTGCCTCCGATGTGTGATTAAATGGGATTATAGGTGGGATTTAGGGTTTTGCTGGTTGGAAAATAACCAACATTACAGCCTAAAGCCAACATGCACACGTCCCTTCAAAAGGTACAACGGCACAAGGGCTGGGGAAGGGGATACAAAAGACTCTGTTAAAAGGTGTAAAAAGGTGAAAGGTCTATGACTGTTTCCCAATCCAGTCCTGTCTGGCAGGGAGCTGGGAGGGACCAAAAACGTGGACCGGACTGGGAAACGCTGCTCTAAGAGGTACAAGATTCCTGCATTTTGACAAACAACTAGCGGTAGAAGCAGCAGTGCAGCCAGGCAGAGTGCCCCCTGCAGGTCATGCCATCACCAGAAGGCCCTCCGCAGATGCTCACCATATCCCCCCGCCTGGATGGGGGTCTTGGGGGAGGCGCAGGTGTACAGGCTGAAGTCCTCGGTCTGGAAGCCGGCGCGGTTCAGCGATGGCTCCGAGGCGCTGCGGTGGATCTTGGGCAGGGAGCGAGCCAGCAGCTCAATGGAGGCCAGGATCTGTGGAGGGGAGGGGGAGGGTCAGACTACGGGTACCAGCCGCACACTGCTGTCAAGTGTACATGTGTGTGAGGGGAGAGAGGGAGGGGGGGAGAGGGGGAGGGAGGGATCCAGGTATAATTCCTTTGGGGGGGGTGGTGTTGGTGATAAGCCCATACACCTCCCCAAATCTTAAAAAATAAAATAAAATCAAAGCACAAAAACCCCCTGGCAAGACAAAGCACCCACTAGATTAAAATGGTATTACTTTAATTGGACAGTAAATTGGCACTGTGCTGTTCATTAAATCCATTATTTTGGACATCAAGAAATCTCGTTAGCAGCAGAGGGATAAAGAATTTATTTCCAGCAGGTAACGTGAGGATAACCCCCGGCTGCGCTGCCCTGATAATCATTACCTTAACGATAAATTCGGAGCAGCACACTAACTGGAAACCTTAGCGTAATTGCACTCGTTAAGCAGCAGGGGGCACAGTGGACAAGACGGAAAGATTCCAGGGGTGGGCTACCTGAGGGAAGAGGGGGCGCTCCTCCCTCTTCTTCTTCAGGCAGTCAGCCATCAGCCTCTTCATGGCCTTGGGACAATTGCTGCGCACCTTGCTGAGGTCCGGAGACAGGTAGCCCCTCCCCACCATGAAGATGATCTGCAAGGAGGTTGGTGAACCGACAGCCAATAAACAATGAGGTGGGGTTGAGTCAATCAATGAGGTTGGGTAGAGCCAATCCTCATCGGTAAACAGAGTGCATGGGGCGCCACATATGCGAGTCGCCATCAGTAAGAACTTTGTGGAGGGATGGAGGAACATGTTACTGACGTGTAACAAACACGCTCAGCTGTAATCTTTAATTTACAGACAGGTATGATCTCTCTGCATCTCTCACAGAGAGAAACTGCAGCCACAGGGCTGCTCCTGAAACCCTGAAGGAGAAATCAAGGTTGTGTCAAAGTCCTGCTGCCCAGGCTGTTATTCCAAATCCAAAGCCATATGCTATTCTCAGGATTCACTAATGCCTCACACTGCTGACAGCGCAGCTTTCCCCGTGAAATCATCATATCTCAGCAACTTACTTTCTGAAAAAAGCCGGATCATTTGATCCAGAATCACATCCCTCGACCGTTTAACATTATGCATGAGCTTAACTGCTAACTTCCCCGTTCCTGGTGACCGTGAGGTGTCTGCTGCAGAACTTTAATTGCCATCTTTTGGCAGATGGTCCCCTCACTAGCTAACAGGTCGAAGCGCTCTTTTATGTCACAGCTTAGGGGCTGAAGGGACTTTATGCCCAACCCCATTTTTACCCAGGAAGATTTCTGCCAGCAATTCTACTAAGATCCAGTTTATGAAAACACTGGTAATAGGGGATGGGGGTTCAACGACCACCCTATCAGACAGCAGACACCTACCTCCTCTCCATTTTGCAAATGTATCCCATCATGCATAGTTCCTGCATCTAAAACCTTCATTCTCTGTAATCCTAGAACAGCGAGCACTGCAAACACAGCACAGGTGGGTGTCTGAGGACTCGGGAGCGCCACTCAGTCCACGGGGCTACCTACAATACCCACGCGACCCACCTGATCCCTATTGTTGATGTTGGAATAGGGCAGCGCTCCAGACATGAGCTCATACAGCACAATCCCAAAGGCGTACACATCCGACTGGAAGCTGTAGGGGTTCTTATCCTGCAGGCGAATCACTTCTGGTGCCTGGGGAAACAAGCAAACCGAAGCGTGAGACATTAAACATAAAGCTGCTAAAAAGACGTATGATAAAAAAGGTATATATTTGTGTGTATAAGCAGAGGGTGTCCGTGCTCTTCCAGACTGTCTGTGTTGTTATATCCCACAAGCACCCTGAATTCAGCGGCAACAGCTGGCCAAACAGTAGGCTATACGAAGGGAAGACTTGTCATACACTTTGACTGATTTGGAAACAGGAGGAGGAATAGTGGACTTTATGTAGGGGTAGGTTTTTACTAGACAGAAGGGTTAAACGAGAACAGCAGAAGAGAAGAAGAGAGACAAGGAGACCAAGGGAGATCAAGCCTGGGCTCTTGGGGGTTGGAAAACTGAATTCTAACCCCGGAAACTGACTGTGGGATCATGACTGGATGTCGGCTGCCCTGAGATGTTCATACCCCTCTGTACTTTCAGGCAGACAAACGCACTTGGGAAATGATGCTTGGCAACCCACTGAGGCACCGGCAGAAAATGGCCTGAGCTGTCGACAGTGTGAGCAGGCACTCACCATCCACAGGATGGAGCCAGAGAGCTGCTCGAACTGGTGCGAGCCACTCCAGCGTGACTTCACCGTGGCCAGGCCGAAGTCACCGATCTTCACCGTCAAGTCCTCATGCAGGAAAATGTCTGATTGGCCTGGTTAAGGAAGCAGCCCGAGACAACTGTGCTCTTACCTAAGGGTCTATGTGACAGGTGTTGGGGGTGGGGGTCACTCGCTAGACACTAGAAGGATACTGTTGCTCTTCAGGTCCCTGTGGATGATGGACTTGGCGTGCAAGTAGCTGAGAGATAAAAGCAAATATGTTTCAGTGGAATAAACTCGGGTTCAGCTACCTCCACGAGAGTTGATCTAGGGCTCAGTGTGAGGTGGGTAAATGGGCAGGAACCGTGGCACATATAAACCAATGCACCAATGCATATAAACCAATGCACCAAAGCATATAAACCAATGCACCAATGCATATAAACCAATGCACCAAAGCATATAAAACCAATGCACCAATGCATATAAACCAATGCACCAATCAAGATTTAAGGGTGCGTGTGTATATGCACGCCAACTGCAATTTCACAATCACATACGCATTTGACATGTAATTATATGTTTACTTCTCCACTTTAAAGGGCACAAATTACTTCAGCCACATCACTCATACCTTACAACATCCTCCCAAAGTCAGTGTGAAGAATGATGTTTGCACCATTTCCTGTCAGACCAGCTTTAAATTCAGCGATGTACATGGCATCTGCTCTACATTCTCTTTCAACATCTCAAAATAATAAAAATCCTGCTTTCATAATGTATCACTTTCCCCTGTTCAATTCCCAGTTTGCTAATTTCATGTTAGCCTGAAACATATTACTACTACTACTACTATGATGACCTGCAGAATTATATAGCTTGGAGGTCTTGCATAGTAGCAGAGGTGGACATTTCAGATTCAGAAAGTAAAAATCCCAACCTGGATTTTGTTTCAACCAACCAATTCAGTAGTCTGTGACTTAATACTCAACTGGTTGGTTGAAACAAAATCCTGGTTTGGATTTTTACTTTCTGGACCTGAAATGTCCACCTCTGCACACTAGTCCAGGTCCACATGGCCCTCCCATCCCAAGGGGCCGGGCACTCACTCCATGCCCTGGGCGGTCTGCCGGGCGATGTCGATGAGCTTGATCATCTCAAACTTGGTCTCGATGATGTGCAGGTGGTGGTAGAGGCTGGAGCCCTCGCACCATTGCGTGACGATGGCCAGCTGGGGCTTGGTGGTGTAGCCCATGAACAGCAGGATGTTGACATGCCGTGTTTTCCTGGGGGGGGGGGGGCAGTTTAGATGGGAGGCTATTTAATTAGCACTTTGTAAGATAAGTCTAACAACCTTAGGGTTTTTGCTGTGAGGCTTTTGCTCATCTACACCAACAAGACCCTTATGTACTGCAGGTGAACACTCAACCAATCCAGAGAAGTACTTTTAGCTATTTCAGTGCTTCTTACCTGAGAACGCCCACTTCGTTCTTGAAGGCCTGTAGCTGCTGAGGAGTGGGGGCAGTGACATTGAGCATCTTCACAGCCACGTCACCTGTGCACAATAACACACACCAAATGAAGCAGCGCCATCTAGTGGTGGGAGGTGGTGGCGATGAATGCTGTAGTACACACAGTAAAGCTCCGCGTCTTCAGCTAGAGTGAAACGTGACTCCTGCTCCTCCTACCGTAAGCTGTATTTACTGCAGGCCGTTTTGTACGTTTTATTCAAAATGGAAGAAATACACAGGGTCATGACGGGCGGCGGTCAGTGAAAGCTGATAAGCTCAGGTATCTCTGACATCACCGCTTATGCAAATTCCCCCTACTCTGCTTACCGTGCCACTTCCCCTTGTAAACCGTCCCAAAGGACCCGGAGCCTATCCTCTGGCCCAGTGTGATCTGGCCTTCCGGAATCTCCCAGTCGTCACTCGAGTCCCTCCGACCCAGAGATTTCTAGGGGGCAGAGGGGGGAAGGGGACACCAGCACCAGATTAATAACTGGCACTGTACACTGTACCTGCCAACTTATCACTGATTCCTTTCAGATCTTTACGTTTTAGTTGTGGAAACTCTTGCCTGATGTACAACATTTAGCATAAAGTGTACTGATAAAAATAAAAGCTGTGTACTACTAAAGCGTATTTATAAAATATGAGTTCTATTGGAGTCATGACTGAAGTGGGAGGAGTCACAGCCCACCATTTTGTTGCGGTCCTCGGACGACGAGGAGGACTTGCGCTCCCTCTGCTGGCCCGGCGACTTCTGCGGAGCCTTGACGCTGGTCAGTGAGCCAGGCAGGGAGGCGGGGGGCGTGGCCGAGAGCCCCGTGGCAGATCCTGTGGGACAGTGGAGACACAGGGAGGTGTGGGGAGCAGGGTCCAACGACAGAG